TGATAAAAATCAGATACGTTGGACTGACAAAGAGACATTGGAAGATCTGAACTAAGTGGGTGATTTATGTCTGATGGCACACAAACTCGAAAAACTGCAGACGAAAACCACTAGGTCCGCCGAAGAAGCACAGAAGAAAAGACTTCGAGTGAACATACAGAAGACAGAGGTGATGAAGATGCCTAACCAACAATAACAAATATTAATCACCATCAACGGCAGTAGTCGAAAGGAAGTTACCTCCTTTGAACTGCTGGAGGTACAGATGAGAATGTCAAAGCCAGCCATAATTGAGAATTGCAGACAGGTAGGCTTTCATAAATCTGAAGTCAGTGTGGAAATCTACCACACTCCGCATGAGGCACAAGTTCCTGATTTTCAAAACTAATATCAAGCCACTGCTTCTATATGGTTCGGAGACTCGGTGTGCGCGTCACGAAAAACATTTACAACAGGCACCAGACTCTCATCAACAACTGTCCTCTGTAGCTCAGTGCTAAAGATTATATTTCTGGCTGAAAGGTTCAGCAACAAGAAACTCTGAAAACGAACCAATCCAGAACCTACTAATGAAACAAAAGGCAAAAGGAAATGGATTGGATACAGGTTAAGAAAACCGTTAAGTGGTATTACAGGCCAGGCTATCCAGTGAAACCTGAATGCGGAATGACGACTTTTAACGGCACCTATGTTGACAGAGAGGAGATAGCGAGAGGAAGTAATGAGAGATTATGGGTAATCATGGGGTCAGATATATATATATATATAACTACAGGGGGAACGGACTGGGATGTCAATTCGAGAATCGGGAAGGCGAGAAACACAATCATCAACCTGAAACCAATCTGGAAATCTTCATCACTCAGCATCAACAACTAAATTCAGTCGGGTTTTCATTACAAACGTCAAGTCATTCAGTTCTTCTATATGGTTCAGAAACTTGGCGGGCAGGTCACATAGAATATTTCCAACAGGCTATTGCAGACCTTCATCAACAACTGTCTTCGCTGGATCTATACTGAAGATCAGATGGCCGAGCCAGAAAGAATCACCAACAACAAGGAACTATGGGAACAAACAAAATAAGAACCAATCACCAGCCAACAAATATGCAGGAGAAAGTTGGAGATGGATTGGACACTCGCTCGCTGAGGAGGCCGCCACTGGGTGACATCGCGCGCGCGTCAGGCCATCGCTCGAGTGGAACCAGGCCTAAAGGGAAGCGGCGAGTGGGACGTCAGTGCAAGGGTGACATGGAGGAGTTGAAACAGTATGGACTAACATGGATGCAGGTGAAAAGTGCAGCAGAAGACAGAAGCATGTAAGGATGTGCGGCTGAAGCCCTGTGTTCCACTAGGAACCCAAGGATCAATAGTAATAATAATAATGGGTCAGAGAAAAATACTGCACTGAATAGATTGAAATGATATCCTGCTGAAGCTCTATTTTCCACTTAGAACCCAAGGGAAGAAAAGTAATAATTCCGAATCCCTATCTGCCTATACACCCTCCAATATCTAACCACCAGTAGTGATTGCCTAAAAGCTGTAGGGATTGCCATTTATTCCGAAATATTAAAGGCTCTAATGGTTATATCTCAGTTTATAGCAATGTCTGTTTACCTAATAATATTATAAATGATTACTATGACCTGTTTGGTTGATCAGACTATGACTCTTAACTAACTGTTTATAACGTTAAGTAGGCGATAACAACAAGGGGAGGGAGATGAGTTTGCTGGAGGCATTCTTCTTCTGACGAAGAACGATAATGTGCACATAAAATCTAAGTAAAGATTTGAACTTATAAGCCTGTTAGCACAACGTAATTATTTAATAGGTCAAGGTAATCCTGTATACAGCGAGTACAGAATTAGTAATCGATCCAGTCAAAACATTTCTGTTTATAGCCTAAAAATTTACCTTCTAAAGTTGTATTTAAATTCTTCTTCTACATTTTATTCTGTACTGTTTCCTCATAAAACAAATGTATGTATTTGAATCTCTGTTAGCACTATGCAGCAGTCATTTATCTTCTCTACCCTATCGATAAACACCATCACAGCAGATATTTTAACTTTGTGTTCATTCAATGTTGACTACAAATAGTGTGTATGTACGTAAAGTATGTGTGCTTCTTTGACAATTTATTGATTACTTTTAGACACTGAATGGTCGGAGTTGTGTGTGTGTGCGTACGTACACACTAGGAAGACGAAACAAATCTATTGATTGAATATAATTAAAGAAAATGTGTTTATTTGGTGTCTTCAGACCAAATATACTGATCCTGTGTTTAAAAAAAGGTGGGTTTTTATCTCTATTAAAGCTCCCACTATGTGGAAGAGAAAAAACGAATCGGAAATTATTTAAATTATGAGTTTTAATAGGGACACAAACCAACATAAATTAGAGATAATGGAAAACCAGGGGACACTGGACAACTATCTCATCCTACTTCGAGACACTTCAGCAATGTATACGAGCGATCCCACCAGTGGTGATCAAACCTGAGATCTTCAGGTTACGAGGTTATTTAGCTGTTTAGGCTGGGATTCATTTACCTGGGTATTCCATCGTGTGTGGATTCGTGATATAGAGCTATTCACAACCAACACCTTCGGTGAGTATTCATTTCACCTTGACAAAATGAAGTACAGTGGCTACTGCTTCTCAGTACAGCTTCATGAAATTCATCCAGTACTCTTTAATGAGCTGGAGACTAATATTTAGATTACAGGTTTTTGTAAGGATTTGGATTAATTTCAATGCTAATTTCCTCGTGAACTAATATTAGTAAACTGAAGGTACTGAGTTCAAACTTTTTGGTGGGTTCCTGGGTGTGGACTACTGAAGATTCTCGGATTACGACTAAACAGAAGTCCAGATTCTTAGTTAAATTAGTTGTGCTATCTAAATGTGACCACTGGGAAAGATGTCGTATTTCACATACACAAAATTCTTCATAAAGTTAATGAACTACTGTCCTTATGGGTTAGTATTACTTGCATTAGGCTGGATAAAAATTATGCGTGTTGAAAACACAACAAAGCATCAATCTGTTGAATCATTGACTATCTCTATGAGTCATGTACGTACGTGTATATCGCCTTGATGAACTGCTAAATGGTTGAATAACTATTTGTTGGGGATTTCTAATAACCGGATAATTTTTTTTTAAATAATCTCACATTTATTCAGTCTTTATCACCCTACAGACATCTTTGTTAATCTTCATTCCTTTATTCCGTCTCACAGTCACATCTGTTCTTTATGTTCTCCGAGTTGACTTTTATTCCTTCCAAGTTTTGTGTACTGCTTTAACTTGTCACTTAAGTAAGCTTGACTTTCGAGTTCAAATTCGTTGTGGTGATTGTCAATTTCCATCACTGTATTGTTTAAATACTTACTGTTGTTTCTTAATATATTTCTTATATGAATTGAATTATAATTCAGCCAAATACGCATTCTTTAATTCATACTATGCTTTAATTATTGTTGATTCTTATTCTAGATGGCCAGAAGTTATAATCACAGATAGTCCTAATGCAAAGTTCACTCACAGAGCGTTGAGAAGGATTTTTAGTCGACGAGGAATTCCAGATGTCCTAGTTACTGATAATGGTACTCATTTCACTGAGAAGAACTTCAATGATTGGCTTAAACATATAGGTTGTCATCATCTGTACACAGCACCACGTCATCCTCAGTCTAACAGGTTGGCAGAAAATTTCGTACAAACATTAATAAGTGCCATAGCATCAATGAATCCTAAGAATTCTGATGAGCTAGAGAGATGTGTAGATAACTTCCTACTTCAATATCTCAAAGCAGAGCATACAAGTATCCATGAAAGTCCTGCTAAACTGTTCAAATCTCGAATTCTCAAAAAGCATCTGATGTCCACGACTTCTGATGCACATTATTGCAGAGGGAATGACTATAGACCTTCTGTTGAAATCATACTACAAAAAATTGGAAATCAAATGTGAAGGTATTTTAAATCGAAGATCATTCAGTTCATAACAGACACCTGGATCTAGTGAGAATGAATGAAGTAGGTCGTTCCAATTATAATTTTAATGATTCCGCTACTAATCCTGATTTTGTAGATAATTCAGAAATAAGTCAGATGATACTGATGAAAATAATATCACAGAATCAATTAGAAGGTCGCTGCTACTTGCAAGCAAACAAAGACATCATTATAAATACGAAAGGAGACATTCGACATTTGGCGGATGTGGTAACTGACAATGTCTATCTCTGTATTGTTTATATACTTACTGTTGTTTGTTAATGTATTTCTTATATGAATTGAATTATAATTCCGTCAAATACAAATTCCTAAATTCATCCCTCCCTGTGTTGTTGGTTGATTTCCTTTATTTCGGTCATTGCGAAATACAAATACCACTATTACAAATAATAACATTCGTCTTATTTCACTTTCATATTGTTTATGAGTTTGACAGAAGTAGTGAAAGTCTAAAAGTTAACTATAATTACTGTAATTTAACAGAATAAAATTTAATCATGGTTGCAAATGAAACGGTAAACCTGCAGTTTGATGAATCTGAAGAAGTAGCCTCGAAGTTACAAACCTAAAGCCTCATTAACATTACTGGTAGAATACTGCATTGACAACTTGAAGGTCATAAGTAAGAATCTCTTTATAAAATCGAATTTTTCATGAATCTACCAATGAATGGAAATTTGTATAACTGCTTAGTTCCACCTAGTTAATTTGAAAGTCCCTTCATACAAATGGTTGACTTCTGTGAGGAGTGATCTGATTGTGAGTCACAGAGAATACAACTGTTTGACCGACCTAAGTCACTAGTGAAGCCGTTAAAAGACTTTGAAGGATTAGTAGGGTCACAGTCTATGTGTGCTTAAAATGAGATCAAGTAAATTGTTAGTATAAGTATAATGATCTTCTATAAATAATTCGATAAATAAGATCTGAGAAATACTCTTTGAAAACAAGCAATCGCTTACAATGCATCGATTTTGAAACATTGCTTTGAATACTGGTGAATAGATAGACAAAATGGCACGATGACAATGAAGATTACGGCCTTGAACAACGAGAACAGCATCACTGAATAGAAATGGGCTAGTGAAATCCAGTACATCATGTCCATCTTTCTGTACTTCTGTCTCATCACTATCACAGCTGAAAAAAAAAAAGATATATAGTTGTAAAGGAAATTAAAGTGTGTGTGAACTGTTCACACAGCTGGAGTGAATGAACCTGCAATAAATAAGACGTTACATTCGAAAAAAACTCGCTATTTCTATGTTTTAATTTTAAACACACTAAGAGATAACAGAAAATGATCTATGCAATCGATTTCTTGTATTATCCGCTCAACTATCCCGTAGAATCGATAATTTTAGAAACAAATTTGATTACAAACGGTATTCAATAAATAAATACTATAGTGAAGCAGAGTTGAATAAACCTCTGTCAGATGGAAATAGTCAGTCTAGACACTTTTGATTATTTGACCTAGGTTAGTACATTTTACCCTATATGGGATAAGTCGACACATCTTGAATACTATGACCGCTCAGAACTTCTGTAGATTATTTACCCTTAATTGATTCACGTTGCCAATATGAGGTACATACAAAATGACAGACAAGGATACTTAAAAATATTTGGATTCTCAATGAAGGGTGTAAACTGTTTCGTGACTGGTTATTAGTTTAGATCAGCGTTTTATTGAGCGTTTTTATCGACTTACCATTGAAGCTTTTCGTGTGGTCTATTTTTATTAATGCATAAACATTTGATCTATAGTACCATGTCGATAAGTCGTTTATTCATCTGATTACTAAGTTTCTAGGAATTCCCTGACATTTTCAGTGTTTCGTGCTTTTTTACCTCACGTTCCCAGTGGAACATAGGCCTCAAGCTGGTGGCTTGAAGATTCTCTAGCAGTGTTTAATTTTACAGGATGGGGTTGCTAGCCTCATGCTCAACCTTTCCTCTCTACTAGCATTATTATTTCTGGCTTAGCGAGGTAAAGGAGTGCGTCGGTGGCCGGGGATCGAACCCCGGACTATGTGCATGGTCGGCGAGCGTCCTAACTGCTGTGCCAACGACATCGTTTCCGTGCTTCAAAATTCTATTTACTTAATGAAATTAATGTCTATTGTTGTCTAAATGCATCAAAACGAAAGAATGCGTGTCATATATTTTGACAGCTACTCTGTGTTCTTGAACACGGAGTCGAAGGGGACGTTCATCTTGCACAATACAATATTTATCACAGTTCATACAATTTATTTCGTAGATAGTGTTGATCTTGCCTCTTTTTTGTTGTTAGGTCTTTTGGTCTGCATAAAACTGAATGAAATGGTGATACTGACTTATGTGTAATATCTATCCCGAATGGCTTTAGTTTTCTGGAGGTTATTTCAGAAATCTATTCCTCATACATAGAGTAGGATGAATTTTTGTGTGATTTCTGAGGATGGTTTCTTCCTGCTATCTCAATTCGCATTTAGACATATTTTGATGAAACTGAAAGGGCATCCATGGTTCTTGAAGACGACTAATAAATATTTTTTTCTGTTCTCCTCAAGACTAGAGTGCTGCAATATGTTTTAGTTTGAAATAACTTCAAAAACTTATTTTGAACGAAACACCAGATAGAATTCAGTTCGAACCAAAGAAAGGACTAGACTCATCACACTAGTTACTAGTGTCCAATCAAAGTACCCACTACAGTCCTACAGGAGGTCAATCGCGAGCCCGAATAACTCAGTGGTAACATCTCTGACTGCGCCACTGGATGACGCGTGTTTGTATCTCAGAAGGGACATGAGTTCCTTCAAGGTCGAAGATACGCCTTGTTGACTGGTGGGTGCCAACTAGCACGAAACCTAGGTCAGACAAGGCTTTCTGTGGCCGATTGCCTCCAACCATCTAATATCATCAAATCAATGTTCACTATGATGGTGAGCCACCTAGAATGGTGGTCACATTGCAAACCTGACTGATAGAATTCAGTCTGTACCAAAGAGAGGAGTAGACACATCAGACTAGTTAATAGTGTTCAATCAAAGAAACACCTCTCTACCAAGTTAAAGTTCACTAGGAATGCGTGAACAGTTATTATAATTTTCCTTTTGATATGAAAGTTTAAAGGTGTAATGAAAGGCAAATATTTATATCACAAGGGTTATAGAAAGGAAATAATAGAGGATCAGAAAAATAGTTGCGCAAATGTAAAGTAGTTTTTAACAATGGCAGGTGTGAACAGGATAAACAAAATGGGAAAAATAGCTTTTTTATATAACTGAAGATGAAAAAGTATAAAGGGAATGATGAAAGACAAGACCAAGATACAAATAAGAAGCCCAGTAGGACTAAATCCGTGCTAAATGTAGGGGTTGGATTAATTTCTTTCGAACACTTAACTCCGTCTTCGTGATGCATATGATGAAGGCTTCTGCAGTAAAACGAAGTCAAAACCAAGCTATCTTTAGTAGATTTCCGTTAATTTTTTAAATAATCCTGAATGATCGGTATGTTGAAACTTTGTGGTGGATACTGAGGAGATGTTCAATTGTAGCGGTTCTGATTAAACCAGTAACTTCTCTTTGCAGCCTTGATGGATAGAATTCACTATAACTTTATTATTCACCCCAGACTTTTTGACTGTAACATGTTGCTTTATTGACACATGTTTGCTGCACTCAATTCTCTTTCATAACTTTCAACTGACCTCACGATCTCCCCTAGGCTTCCATTTCGTCTTCGCATGATCTTCTTAGATTTAGTCAGGAATTCTACCATTTCAGAAACGTAATCACCGGAACTAAAGACTTCTCTGATGATTGAAATAAGTATAATAAAATCTATAAGCATTTCAGAAAGGCAAATCGTGCATTCGGTGGTCTAGCGGTAGAATGCATGCAAACTAAGCACATGGTCCACAGTTCGATTCCCGGTCAATGCACACCTTTACTTCCCTTGGCTGATTGTAAGCCCACAAATTAAGAAGGTGGAGCGTGAGGTTATCAACCCCATCCTGTAAAAATAAACACTACTACAGAAACTTCAAGCTTCTACTCCTATACTCTACTGGGAACGTGAAGGAATAAAAAAATAATAGACAAGATAGGAAAAGCGTCTAAACGAACTGCTTCTGAACCCTAAATTTGGTTTCTTCAGATGCATTTCTATGGTTCTGGTTATGTGTAGAAAACGGAATCGCGTAAGGCGAAATTAAGATTGGTAGGAATACAGCAAATAACTTTAATTCTCTTGTAAACATCTACTTGATTTTCACTATCTTCATAGTGAGTTAAAACAGAGCTAAGAATAGACCGTATTTGTGCCTTGCCTAAGTAGGCAAACTGGTGTTAGGAAATCCGAAGCCTACTTGTATATCAAACTTAATTAGCTGCATAGGAGAAGTCAAACTGGTAGGTACACAGAGCGAAGACGAGGTGGTTTATCCTTAATGCATAAACGTAAAATTAAAGTGGTTGTAAAGAGATAATGTGTACATCTGATGCAATGAATGCTGTTTTTCCAGCATTCTTTAGGCCTTATGTTATTTTAGTAATGTAATCGTCGAAAACTGTTATTTTAACAAAACAATGCAAGTTAGTATCACAGAAGCACCAAAGAAGTGTACTGATGTTTCACCTTGAATATCATCATCAATCAATACATGATCAGCAGACCTCGTTCATCTCTGAAGACACAACAGCAACACTAATCCCCCTTTGGTTATGCATTACTATAAACATTAACCAAGCTCACCTAGAAACTAATCATACACTTCTTTAATTTACATTTTACTGTTGAAATCTTACTGTTTCCAATAAAAAAAAGGCAAACTCATTTAACACCACGCATACCTAACAATTTCTCAGCATATTTCAATAATTGTTATCACTAAATTAAGGATGATTCTTTATTTTATTTAAACAGAAACAATGCACATCACTAATGTCAATCAATCAGTAGCATAATTTAAATACTTAGCCAAGTAGGTGAAGAATGTTTGAAAGTCACCATTCTTCATTACACATTCTTCTTTTAACTTGCATTATGATAACAGTGTAATCGATCTTCTAGTCAGGATAATCAATAATATGTATGATGCATTAGTTAGCGTATATATATATATATAAGGCGTACTTTTGATAGATCAATAATTATGTGTGCTCACTAACACTGACAGTTATAGCATTAGTAAGGGTAAAGATAAGGTCAAGTGGAATTAGAATACTTATTCTTTATTTTACTCTAAACCGTATATCTGTATAGCATACTATTTATTCTTATTACTACTACTATTATCATTCAGTATATAACGTACTATGAAGAATTGAAGATTTAACACAAACTAGTCGTATAATTAGATGTTTTAAATCAATAAATGTAGAGATTAAAATTCTTGGTATAAACGTTCACATTATGAAAAAGTAATTAAATAAAATTTTTAAAAATCATAAGGTTTCAAGTAACGAAAATTGGCTTCAATGTTAAACTACTAAGGAAAATGTAAACTCATTCCTTTAATTATTTTTGGTTTTTATTTTTCCTTCACGTTCCCCAGTGGAACATACGGCTTCAAGCTAGTGGCTTGAAGTTACTGTAGCAGTGTTTATTTTACAGGATAAGGTTGCCAGCCTCATGCCCAACCTTTCCTCTTTACCAGCATTATTTCTGGCTTAGCACAGTAAAAGAGTGCGTCGGCCGGGAATCGAACCCTGGACCATGTGCATGGTCTTCGAGGGTCCTAACCGCTGTGCCACCGACTAAATATTTTATTTTAATGTAGCTGTTATAATCGAAAATTTCAAGTTGGGTTTTACGTTTACGAGAAACTTTCCCCTGGCTGACAGAAGGAAACACTTTTAATACTAGAGGGATAAAGAATGTAGGACGTCTTATTGTGGTCATTTATTATTACACGACCTAATTTATTCTGTATGAATTTTTTTGGTTGGTATATGATCGAATACTCCAAGTTTGCAACAGAAATAATATAGACTGTTCTTTTCAAAGTTTATGAATATCTGTCAACAACAAAAACTTATTGCTAGTGAAGGTTTATTGTGTTACAGTTCTCTTTGTCCTTCTTTGGAAGTTGCAAGATACACACTGTCTAAATGTCGTCGATGTGTTCTTCATCTGTCTCCTGT